TGAAGGAGGGCGCCGACGGCATACAGATCTGCAGAAAAGACGGGAAAAGAAAAAAAAAAAAAAAAGAAGAAGACGATAGATTGAGAACGAGAGAGAGAGAGAGAGAGAGAGAGAGAGAGAGAGAGAGCGAAAGAGAGGGAAGAATGAAAGACTGAAATAAATTAAATCACGTTAAAACCTAATCACATAAGGGCACTTTAGTCTTATCATATTTGATTAGGGGGGTCTCACTAATTAAGAATGAAACTTGGGTGTAGGCAAAAGTCTCTAATAATCAATTGGGTTTAGTTCAAAATATTTTCCATTTGAGGGTATTGCATATTTCCCCATTCTACTATGGTACATCGGGTGAAATATATCGAATAGATCTTTATCATTCATATAACACAAATACCCATACTCACATTGATACGTGTAGATTAATTGTAAAAAGTCACTAAGTGTAGTTTTAACCGAATGTAGTATAGAAATAACCAGAAAGAGAGTGCGGTTGAACATTTTATATAAATATTTTATTTAACAAAAAAAAGCTTGAATACTTCAATGGTGGTTGCAACATTTATATAGTGGTGAAGCTAATCACAAGGGCAGTAGGATAAGAAGCAGCCTCCTTTTAAAATCTAGCCATACACGTGTCAATCATCGTGATTCTTCACATAACATTCTTAAATTGGACAAACTTTTAAGAACCAATTATTTTCGTGCTTAGCTAGTAATGGGTTGCTACTAAATCTAATAGGGCTCTTTTGGTTTGGGTGCTTAGGCTGGATGGGACAAGGAGTCCCACTTAATATGCAGTTTGGTTTGGCTGTTGGGTCACCTCTTGATAAATGGGCCCACATTTTTTGTCATCAAATTGGCTGATAAGTAGTCAGGCCAAAATTGGCTTGATTATTTATCATCTCCATATCCAGCTTTTCTTTTCATGTGTAATGACGAGTGAGCCCTTACTAATTGCAACAATTACCAATAAATCTTATATAAATAGTTTTTTTTTTCTTTATTTCCATTACAGCAAAACCCCTCGTCAAAACTCAAAAGCAGGTAAACAAAAAAATTGTTCCTCTTCTCTGTGTAAAAGATACTTTTTCCTTTTCACCATTATCTCAATTAAAGCACAAAATTTCATTGTTTGTGTGTTTCTTAGTTAATTTATGTATGTATTTCGTTTCTAGTAGAAATACGACGATCGTCTGAAGACATTAGGGCAAGTCTCCTTCGCAGTGTACGGCTTGGGAGGTATTTGTTCGTCCTCAATTTCTAAGAAAAGCTTATAGCTTGTTAGATTTGTGGTTCTTCGTTAATATTTAGTTTAGGCATAATTTGTTTTCTTAGATTTACAATAGTTTCGTTCATGGTAAGAGGGGAAACGTCGTTGTAAGAATTCTAACAAACTGAACACCCAATTTGAGATAAGATTTGATGTTAGGTTAATTTAATTTTATAAGATGTATTGTCTATTTATTTGTTGTTGTTTGTCTTTATTATTTTTTTTTATGTATTTTACTTTGCCTTGGTTATTCTGAAATTTGTGTTACAATTGTGCTTCATTCTTCCAAATACAAATTCATTTTGAATTATTTTTGTTGGCCCTTCCTTTATATTAACCTGCTATTTTTTGGTGAAACCGTTTTCAATTTGTGATTTGATACATTGTGTTTTGCATTCGGTTAACAATCATATTTGACTTGCATTTTTTTTGTACATCGTTTTAGTTATATATTGAAATGTTGGGTTATGGTTTTTATATGTTACACATGTGTTACATATGTTCTGAAAAATATGCACAGTATGTTCATTTGTTAATGTGTTTTCATTATTAAAAGAAATGAGTTCCTTTTTTTTGACATTTTGTTACTGCAAAATATAGTGTAATAGGGCATGTGTTATTGTGGTTCTTCCAAATCATCCCATTCTTTTCTACAATGGGTTGTTAGGAATTTCAATTTATTTTCACAACTTAAATATTTGTGTGGACATTTGATGATTGTGTGAAGTAGACGAATTTATATGTATGTATCCAATAGAAATACATATATGTATTTGGTTAACAATACCAACCACAAATTGATTTGCTAATAACCTGATTAGTTCGTTTGTTTAATGGTGAAGACCTCTTGATTCTTTAGTTTGGTGATTTAAGTTCTCCATTTACTTAATAGTTTATGTGTTTGATATGTACATGTTTGTAGGAGACGAAACGTCAAAGGTGTTTCGTGAATGGATTTTCTCTTTATGAAGAATGCCGATGGGCATTTGAAAAGAAACAAGCTTTGTCGATTGACTTCCGAGAACTTAGAGGCTTAAATCCTAAAAATCCTTTTCAAACATATGATTATGATGATGATGATGATGAAGTCCGTAATAATGTGATATGGACAAACAAACGGACCACGAAAAAATATGGCAGCTCCAGATATGTTAGGTAACGTTTGGAGTTTGGACCATCTTCGTCGCCGATTTCCAAATATTACTGTCGATAACGTCAACAATGGCAATGCCAACGCCAATGCTAGCGGCAATGCCGATGTTGATGATGAAGAAAAAAATAGTGATTTTCAAGAGATGAGCCGGTGTCCGATGGATCCATTATTTTGAATTGGAGGGTTAGATGATTGTTGCATATACTTGTAGACTTCTTGGTGTTTAATGGTGTTTAAGAATTGTACGTCGTTTTGAATATATTAGGTAACGTCTTTTGGCAAGGGACTACTATCCCCGATTTTCAATTGAATATATGCATGTATGTGTTTCGGAAAATATATATATATATATATATATATATATATATATATATATATTTATATTTAAATATTTCATGATTTTTTTGTTTTTGTAATTTAATTGTTAAAACAATATGTTCTATTAAGAGAATTATAATTGGTATGAGTATATGAATATGTCAAACCCATGTCAGACTCTAAGTTTGCAGAATGAGGTTTCCAATAATTTTGTTCAAGTGATATTGGTTGAGTTTCTAGAAAAAAAAATAAAGAAGAGGACGATGGTGTGATATGTGAATTTTAAGGATATTATAGACATTTCACTTCTAATCCCATGGAATCAAGTGAACAAAATAAGAGATTCTTAATTATTTGACTATTAATCTCCAAGTCATCCCACAAACCAAAAGACGTGATTAATGTTACTCAGAATCATATCAATCCCAATATTAATTGTCCCATCCCACTCTATCTATCCAAACCATCCAACCAAAAAGGCCCATAATGTTTTAGTGATCCCATTGGTCGGCTATAATAAATTAGTGGGGTAATAATATAGTCATAAATGATGGGACAACACTAAATTTGCATTTGATATTGTGATGATATAAATTATAAATATAATCGCGTACGTACGTTAGGTACAACTTCGATAAATTAATAAACAATTTTTTTTCTTCGTATGTTTCTCGAAGCTTTACGGCACATAATTTAAAACGGAGCGAATATGTTCAAACTCGATTATCATAGAATAAAGAAAACGATGCAATTTCAAGTCTTAAGTAGTTTGGTAATTTCATATTGAAATTGAAACTCGATATTATGAGAAATACAAAACCCCTGAACTAGAATATGAGCGGAGATTGTACGGATCAAATTGAAATTCGTAATTTAAAAGGAAAAGTAAATAACATTTATTTCTTCTCTGGTTTGAGATTTGTTCACAAGACTTTTTTGTACTTAGAATATAACTCCACGATCCTCCGTAGTTTGAACTTTATGCACATGACCCTCTGTACTTTAAATAAAAACACATAAACTCCCTATGATATTCCATTTGGTAAATAGAAAGATGAAATTTTTAAAAGTAAAGGGGGTTATGTGCTTATATTAAAATATAAAGGGATCGTGTGCACAAAGTTCGAAACATGGGAGGTGCAAGTGCTATTTACTCAAAAAAAAAAAAAAAATTGGAATGTGAAAAACTATGGGTGAAAATTGGAACGAAATTTTCGATTTCTGCCGATTCCGATCTGAAAATTTTCAATTATGGAAAAATATTTTTCAATCCAAATTCCGAAATTCAGACTTTTGATTTTTCCGAAATTATTTGGATCGGAATTGGAATATATATGAGATACCGATTTCCGATCCAATTAAAGTTCCGAAAATAGTTCCAAAAAATATCATTTTTTTTCCGCCGTTTCCGATCCAAAATTTTCCGATTTTGGAACAAGTTTTTTCGTTCCAACTTCTGAAATTTCAATTTCCCATTTTTTTTTTGGGAAAGAAACTGGAATTAGTGTTTCACTTCCGAAATAATCGAAATTTTCTGAAAGGGCTAAATCAATCCAATTTGTCCGAATTACACGCCTATAAAAAAAACTATTTTCAGTTCCGTTTCAAAACAATTCAGAAAAAGAGAGAGAAAATATGAGTTTTGGAAATAGAATGCAAATCTTGTTCTAAAATCGGGAATATTTTAATTGAAAATGATCGAATTCAAAAATCTCATTTTTTTTCAATCATTTATAATGTAAATACCCACCGGTACAACATTTGGAGGAAAAAAATAATTAATGTTTCGATATTACTTTCGAAAATTAAAATCAGATTGAAAATTTGAATTTCATGTACAATTAAACATCTATAAATTAACATATAATATTTCAACTCCAATTCAAACAAAATTCGTGTAAAAATTCTGAAATCGTAAATTTTGAAAGTCGGAATAAAAATTGTTGTTCCAACAAAAAAGAAAAGAACATTCGTATCAAAATCTGCATAATTCAAATATTAAATTGTAAATGTTACTCTGATAATTTATTTTTTTGAACATGTTATTCTGATAAATATTATTGTTCAAAAATAAAAACTAAATCGTTTCATAATTCACATAATTCAAAAACTTATTTAAATTTCAATTTCAACCCCAAAATTATAAATTTATAACCATAAACAACTTATTTAAAGTTTTGTTCTTTTTTCATCTTCCTCCTCCTTCCGACTTTCCCCATTCATTTCTCTCTCTCTCACTCAGATATATACATACATACACACTCTCCCTATACATACACTCTACTCTCTCTCCGAAGAACTTGCAATTTATGTTTTGATCCGAGTTAAAAACTGCTGTTTGCTACAATCAGGCGATTTGATTTCACGTTTTCACGATACCAGAGGCCGCATTAATTATAAATAGATAGAAAGATTTTGCAGGGAAAAAAGGTTTTCAATTGAGAGGTTTTAGGGTTTGCTAATTCACAATATACTGCTGTTGTATAGGTAGATTGGGGGTTTTAATTTTGTTTAGTTCTGGTTGTTAATATGTTGGGAGCAGGAGTGCAGTTCAATAAGAGTAAAAATGGTGAAGATCGATTTTACAGCGCCGCTAGGGCTCGCCGGAGTCCGGATTTTTTGCGGAGGGCTCAGGGTGACGTCACCTCTAGGCGGAGCCGCCGTGATGAGCTGCCGCTGGAAAAGTCAAAGCCGGCGGCTCCGGCTTTGCAGCCGGTTCCAGAACCCTCGCCTTTGTGTAATCTCGAGAGGTTTTTGGAATCTGTCACGCCTTCCGTCCAAGCGCAGTACTTATCTAAGGTTCTCCAATTTCTTCCCCTTTTTTTTTTATTTTATTTTTTCAATTTAGGGATTCTGAATCGGTCGAAGTTTATATAGAAGTATCGAATAAAATATTCACGATTTGTGTTGTTATTGGCAATTTAGTTGTTTAAAAAGCCTATTAGTAATACTGCTCCAGTTTGTGATTATGAAATGATCTGAATCATATATACGAACGAGGTTTATCCGGCGGTTGTTTTATTACGAACTCATCGAGCGTTTTTAAATTTGCGAGCCTAGTAGTAATTTTAGTATTATTTTGTGGTTCTGTCACAATGCACAAGGCTGAAAGACTTGTTCTTGTTTCTGTTTTCAGTGGATCAGTATCTGACGAAAATCGAATCGAATACGATCTAGTGTAGAATTTACGAGCGAGCTATCACTACTAGAGGATATTGAATCTAATGTTAGTGCTCCTTTTCTTGTCGAAGTAAAAGAAAATTTGATCATCTTTGTATGCCACAGATGACAGTAAGGGATTGGAGAACGTGCAATGTCGAGTTTCAACCATTTTTTGTGCTCGGTGATTTATGGGCGTCGTTCAAGGAATGGAGTGCGTATGGTGCCGGAGTGCCTTTGGTATTGGATGGAAGCGAGGGCGTGGTTCAGTATTATGTACCCTATTTGTCGGGAATTCAATTGTACGCTGACTTATCTAAGAGTACAGCAAAGTCAAGGTATCTCTGTCTATTCCACCACGTATATTTCATTTTGTTGACAAGTTATTCTTGAATTTAACGACCTTGTAGTTAAGAATATAGAAGGCGGGTGGTACAAGAATTGTATTTATTTTTTAATGTTTGTTTCTGTGGCTTTTCTTAGAGTGTGTTCTTTTTAGCCCCGTATTGTATCTACAGTTTGAAACGTAGACCAACTTCGTTATGCTTGAATTATCACTTCAAATCGGCTTTGAAATGCACTAAGACACTAGTTACCTGCTCGTAAAAATTGAGAAAACAAGTGGCTTTTGGAGTTGTGCTTATTTTTTTACAATTTTGTGGCTAGTTTATGGTACGTATCGATTAATTATGCTCTTTTTAAAAGTCTTATTTCTGCGAATGCGTGTGTAGGAAACTTGGTGAAGAAAGTGACGGTGAATACTCCAGGGATTCTAGTAGTGATGGAAGCAGTGATGGCGAACAAGATAGAGGTGGCTTTAATTATTCAAATAAGCAACTTACTTATCTTCAAGAAGGCTTTTCTAGCGATGAAGGTGAATCCGAAAGTTCACGGAGTTGCTTGTTATTTGACTACTTTGAACGTGACAAACCATATTGTAGGGAGCCTTTGGCAGACAAGGTGAATTTTCTCTCTCCTCAGTGGCCGTTATATATTTTTTCTTGTTAAGTTCAAGGTTATTTATTTTCCCGTTTCTTACACAAATTTTTTTAATCTGAAATGTTGACAGATATCCGATCTTGCTCGTAAATTCCCAGAACTAAAAACACTCAGAAGTTGTGATTTACTTCCATCGAGTTGGATTTCTGTGGCATGGTATGTATCATTTTGTTTAAGATGCATTCTTTTGTCTCTGAGAGTCGTTGATCCATGTGTATATATCTTACTTCGTGTCGCACAATTATTTTTAGGTACCCCATTTACAGAATACCAACGGGGCCAACTCTTAAAGATTTGGATGCTTGCTTTCTAACCTTTCATTCTCTTCACACTCATATGACAGGTATACCTAAAACCGTTTCTCTGCGCCATTTTTTTTTTTTCATTTTATTTCGTGTGCATGTAAATTTCTTATTTTTGGTTGTGCAGGAAATGAAGCGATGCATCGGCCAATTGTGACATATCCATCTGAGAGTGACGGTGTTCCACAGATTTCACTCCCAGTATTCGGCCTTGCTTCGTATAAATATAAAGAATCGCTGTGGACCCCACCGAATGTCGGGAATCAGGGGCAGATAGCGGAATCTCTCTTGCAAGCTGCTGATAATTGGCTGAATTTACTACAAGTTAATCACCCCGATTTCTCTTTCTTCTGCCGTAGATAAATTTTTATTGTAGTGTTGTTTAAGTTACGAGGCGAAACATAATTCTACCAGAAAAAAATGGTTATATAAGCTGTGTACGCTGAACTGAGCACGCGGCACTTTGGCTGGTGTAGAACTGTAATATACTATTCTACTGTCTGATAAGTTGGTAGGGTTTCGGGCATACTTGTAGAGAAATTGCTGTTTGTTTTAACTAGTTGCACCTATGTATACTAAAAACTATATTATTGGACTAATAATGAACCGATGTTCTATATATAGTTGCTGAGAATTGCGTCCTCCCGTCATATTTGTGGTTCTTAATGCTGTCTTCGTATTTTTCTCGTGTTTGTGAGCTGTGCTTGCAATTCCGAATTGCTTGTTGAATTTGGCCTACCCAATAATTTAAGCCTTGTGATGCCCCATTATATGTTTAATAGTTCCAATTTAGATGCAATTGTTCGATTTGGATCATGGTAAAAAACCGGGAAAAAAACACTTTTTGTCCCTTAAGTTTACCTCGATATCACATTTGGTCCTCCTTGTTTACAAAACACAAGTTTAGTCCCTCGTGTTTTAAAAATTCAACACTTTGATATCACTGCCTTAACTGACGTACAACGGTAAATTGATTGAAATGATCAAATATGTTAAATTATTAAAACATAAGGGACCGAATGTGTTTTTTTGTGAATATGGCGACTAAATATGAAATTGGTGCAAACTTGAGGGATGAAAATTATAATTTTCCCTAAAAAAACAGTAAGATGAAGCTAAACATCAGTAAAAATATCTCCAAACACAAAATTGTGGTTTTTTTTTTCTTTTTTTTTTCATAAATTTTTTAAAATTTTTGAGTCTGATTTGGCTGAGTCAAATTGCATTGTAAAGCTTATAAATAAAGCTACAACATTAATGTTTTACATGTGTGATTCAAACTAAATTATGGTCATAAATCGCCATAAAATAAACTAATGTGAGTTATTTTGATCATAATGTTCTCATATAAAATGTAATTGCACCGATTCAAGTTGCACTAAAAACACATAAAATTAGAACTCTCGTGTTTTGTGATTTAAGGTATTTTATTTGGATCATGGCCGAACATCGTGATGAAGTAATTAGATAGTAAGATCGTACAAATGACCATACGAGTACGGTAAAGAAAAAAAAAGGTATATATGTTTTTTTTACGGTAACTTTCTTATTTTTAACTCTAGGACTGTTCAAGTTGGTTGTAAAAGTTACAGATAGAACTACAACCTCCATTGCAATTTGAGAGATTCAAATTAAATAATGACAATAAATCCACAAATTATATATAATTAACAAATCCCAATTCGTTGTATCACTCCACAAATTATATACGGGGATAAATAAATAAATGTGTTTTAATATATGATTAACATCCATAAAAAGTATGAGAACAACACTAGAAGAAAAGAAAAAGAGACGAAAATTAAACAAACAAAATTGAAAGTACTCAAGTTTAAGTATTATTTGAAATATGTTATGGATTTTATTGGGTGGAAACACGTTTACATTATTTTCTAATTATTTTTAGAAACGTCTCTGAAACTTTTAAATATACAGAAACAACACCGAAACGTTTTGGGCATGTGTCATCGATTTTCGGTTATCGAAACATGTCCGAAAAGTGGGATGCGTATGTTCAGGGGACTGCGCT